ATAGGTCAACATTAGAGGTTTATTATTTACCATAATAATAAGATATTTATTTATATGTTATTAGTATTTATATATGTATATTGAAACTAGTGAAGTATTTTATAATGATTTGCAATTATTAATATCTTGTTTCTTATCTATGATATCATTGTTACTGTTGTTTCTTCTATGCTTCATTCCAAGATAGAGTTCAATTTGCTCGAGTTCTTTTTGTATTGTCCTTTCCTAATATTTGTTGGTGTCTTTTTTTGTTTTACCTGACATGCTACAGAGTCACTAGAAATTAATAAATATTTCTTCCATTCTACTCTTTTTTTGACTTTAATTTAGTCTTTTCTTTTTTGTTTGAAATTTATTGCTGGGTTTTTTAAGGTATGTCCAATTAAATTCGATTTGTGTCATTTAGTCCTCTTTTTCTCACTAAAAAACTAATAGTCAAGCAACTAACAAAATAAAATGTGGCTCAATCATTATTTATAGCACGTTTTCACGTTCCAAAACCATTATTCGAAATTCGAAACATCCAACTTCCATATTATGTAACCTTATCGAATTTATATTTTCAATTTATTTCAATGAGTCTCACATTTCCAGACATTTATAAGGGCGACACAAAATTCGCGCTGCTTGTGGCTCATCCTTTACATAAAATTTGATAATGGTTTTCGGGGTAAATACGGAGGGAGCGTGCGATATCCTGGCCAGGAACTTCATTTGTATAATGAATTATTCAAAACACATATTCGGCTGGTGGGTCTTTTGAACAAAACGAGAGAAGACTCAAATGGGTACTGATAATAAACTAAATAAAGTTATACAAACTTTTAATTAGTTTAGTTTTAAAAGTTAAATAATGTTTAAATACGTTGGCAGAAGCATATGTAAATAAAACAGTATTGAAGGCTGAGAGGGTCAAAACAAACAGAATAAGTAACGTGTTGTTTTTATTCTTTGCTGTAAAGGGTGTTGAAAAATTCGTATTAATAGGTAAAAATTTGGCAGAAAGTCCCTATAAACATATATACAAAAAAGCCTCATAAGAGAAGCCCCTAAAGATTGTTTTTTAGCGATATTTTTGTTAAATTTTAAATTTCTCTTAAAACTGATATTCTGAATGTGACAACTAGTTCAAAAACTGTATTCTTCTAACTAGAACGGCACAACTAGGGAAGAGTAAAAGTGGAAAAGTAGTATTTTCCTGTGCATTTTATTTTTTTTGAGACCATACTTATGAAATTCTACCTTTTTTAAGATAAAAAATCAAGGTTTATTTATCTAAGTGTAATTTTAGTTATTCAGTTTGTCTTTTGATCTTCTTATAGTCTATTTTTATGTATAAGAGAGTATTAAAATAATAAAGCGTTCGTAATCCATAGGCGTAGCACTTCTTTTAGTAGACAGTTAAATATTTTTTGAAGTTATTCCTCGAGTATACACTTATATTTTCACCTAATTAACCTGCTTATAACTTCTAAACAGCTAAAGGTAAAAAAGGGCAATTTTTTCTAAAATGTTTTATTTTTCCACAAGGTATGTTAAGAACATTGTGTCAAACGGGTTATGTAGGTATAAGGGTTTAAACTTTGACTTTTAAACAACGTTACGTTCATAAATAATAATTTTAATATAAAAACTACTTCTTACCTACAAATCCAAATCAGAATCGAAATCAGAAGATGAACTGTCGCAACCAATATTTACAATGAGTGGCTCGATCATTTCATCAGTAATATTATCCAACTTCCACATTTTCTCTTCTTCTTTAATCATATGAGTTACTGCCTTTTCCCAGTTTTCAGGCTTCACATTATTTACAGCCTCCAAAAACAACTGTTTAACATCATTCATTTTAAAAAAATTATTTTTTCTTGAAACTTCTCCCATTATCTGTGCCCATATCAGTTCAATCGGGTTTACTTCGCAATGATATGGTGGTGATCTAACCACCGTCATCCCACGATTTTTTGCAATTTTATCAATTTCATATTTTTTGAATTTCTCTTTATGAAGGGAACACAAATGATACAGTTCTTTTCTCATAGAACCGGGATGGAACTTAATATTCTTTGAATTTAGCCAATTCTGTAAATCTTTTTCTAACCACTTGGTTGTGGGCATTTTTTCTATAAGTCTCGAGTGATAACTTGCATTATCCATTACTATTATACAGTTCTGAGGAAGAAGATCTATAATTTGTTCGAACCACTCTTTAAAGACATCAGCATTCATGTCCTCATGGTAGTCACCGGTACGAGTAGATTCAAAAGTCAATAAACCACCTTTAACAAAACTGTTTGAACTACCGATGTGTACTATTATTAATTATTTAAAAAAGCCTGTCTTCGACTTGTAACAGTTTCATTTTGCCAAAATTTATTTGGTTTATGTTCCTCGTTGATCCATGTTTCATCTAAATAAAATATATTTCTTCTTTGGTTTCTCATTTCTTTTATAGTCTTTAGGTAATTTCTTCTCCATACTACAATATAGCTTCTTTCTATTAAAATAGACTTTCTGGAATGCTTTTTCCATAGAAAACCTATTTCTTTTAAAAGTTTCCATAGTGTGCTTCGACTCATTTCAGGGTAATCCTTATCATCTCGAACCGTGGCAAGAACTTTGTCTACTGTCGGAAATTCTTTGCTAAAGAAGAACGCATGCACTTTCCTTCGAAGTCTTTCTTTCAAAAGATTTTCTAATTGAAATTTTGGTTTTCCTGGAGCTTTACGTGCTGTTTGAAACTCGCCACATTTCTCTTCTTTAACAACTCTGTAAATCGTAGATTTCCCAACACCAAGCGTACTACTAACTAATTCCACTGTGTCATCAACACTTTTACATAAATGTCTGTCTGTAAATGATTTAAAACAATTAAATATTAATGTTTTTTTATTAACTGTTAAAGGACCGATTTTTTGTCGTTTACGCGGCCCTTCCAAATTTTCCATGATCGCACTAGAATTCACACTGCACCTTGCAAGTTGCAACTAAACGACATGTAGTAAACTGTCAAGAATACACAACTTGGACCTCCTTACTAAATGGAAAACCTATAATCGCATTTTCGGTGAAATTTGTTGGGAAGGTATTTATCTACTTATAATTCGATTACTGTAAGAAATTCTTGGAATTAAAATAAAACAAAATTGGCAAATAGGTACTTATTGAAAATAATCTTAAGATACGGCTATGTAATCTTTAATACACAGGGCTTTTGGCCTGTCCAAACCTTTTTCTATTGTTCTGTACAGCTTATGTTTATAAAGAACCAATAAAATACCCAAAACTTGTAATAGCTCAGGTACATTTATTACAATTTTAGGAAATATTTAGATTATTCTGTAAAAATATTTAAAATGACCGTACTAAGTTTGGCATTAAAAATGTTGTTTTATTACTCTCTCATACATAAAAATAGACTTATAGAATGTAGGTGGTGTTTTTGATTTTAAATAAGACTTCAGTTTTACATGTTGTTTTGTAAAGCTCTCTGTCTCTGTTTTGGGCCTTCTTTTTCTTTATTAACGGGTAATTATTGAGTATATTTTCTATATATTTTGTTTTTTTTAAACAAATTATTATTTCATGTTTAAACAATTGTTTTTTAACTAATTTGATGTTAATAAATTTATATTTGAAGATTGACTGAATGAAAATGTTTTTATATCATCCGAATCCACTTATTTAATATATGACGTAAAACTGTGCAAACAGTTTAAGTATCATCATAGCATCATCTCTTTATTTTTTATCAATGATTAGAAAGTTCGTTTGCTCCGCCCTACTTTTTTACATCACTGGTGCTGAATTAAGTGATTTTATGTTTGTTTCACTACGTCACGGATCTGTTAAGGTGCGACATCTTTTTTTGGCTAAAGACTTCTCACTCCTTCGGGCTCACTCATAAAAGAGCGTCACGGAAACACAATTAGCCAGAGCGCAGTACCGTATCCAAAAATAGATATTAACTCGTATATTAACACGTCTAAGACGTTCGACAAGATTGACTATTAAATTCTGTTATAAAAATTAAAGTCTAAAGGATCTAGATCTTCTTTCACTTATTGAATCTTGGGAAATAAATAGATACAATAACAAGAATGTATATAAAATTATTTTAAGTAAATCTCAGGTGTTATTGTTATGAATATTGACTTCATATTTAACCCTTTAGGTGTACCAGATGATGAACTATCAATTTCACAACTTTTCTTAACACTTCCCTTCACTATTACGTTTTCTATTTTATAATATCGATTGTATTTTGTTAGTTTTTCTGTGATATTTTCATAATGTTTTATGCTTTTGCAAGTAACTGAATATTTGTTTCTTAAAAATAGTTTTTTTATCATGTTCAGTTTAAATTTGTTTCAATTTTTCATAAATATGATGTAACCTCATGATTATAAAGTATTTTTTCTAATTTATATTCATCCCCTTCTGTAATTGGTATTTAATAAATACAAAAATATTACTGTTATAACTTTAACACCCTGTATCTTAGTATTAATATTTAATCTCTATTTATTAAGCAAAAAAATATTTTCCCCTATAGAATCTGCACTTAATTTCGTCTGAATTTTTACCTCAATTGAGAGCCTTAGAATAAAAGGGGTATAAGTGCATTTTGGATAAAAAGAGTACAAGTGTCGCTTGTACCTGTTTTGCTCTCACCAAACTGTAGGAATTCTTCACATAGTATTTTTACTAACCAAAAGATGGCAGTCTAGGTTAATATTACACTTAAATCTGTTTTACAACAAAAAAACATCAACTTTAAATATTCATATATGCTATTATCTCCAATCCCAAACAAATCACTTATACCCCTTTTATTCCAAGGCCCTCAATTACTTTCTTTATATATTTTTCTAAAACGACTTTAACTTTTTAATAAAAATAGTACAATGGGCCTTAAGAAACTGGTAGGTACTATTTGATACAAAAAACAAAACAAAAACCACTGTTTTTAACATCGCATGGCTCAGTAAAACCGAGAAGAAATACCCAAATAATAAAAATTTAATAGAATTTTATCTACGAAGGCAAACATGACTGAACGTTGAAAATCTAATCAGACTCGATATTTAATATTTATTTTCACATAATTTAGCTGAAAATAATAGATAATAGATAATTTATAAAGTTAATTACCCTTGGCTGTTAATCGAAGAGTGAAATTGTTTAATTTGACCATGTATTTGACAAGAAGTGTTGTTTTGGCGATACTAGGAGGTAAGTTATCTTTTTTTTTAAGTTATTTTAAGATTGTTTATACGAAAAGATTACCATTAAAATCGTTAACGTAATATCTAAATTATTGATCAAGTTTGCTTAAAAAATATTATATACCGGGTGTTTTTGTTCTACAACCAACATTTTTTAATTTAAAATGTGGCTTTATCTTCAGGTATAATTATTTATAACAATTTTTGAATATTTTCAAAAATATAGAGAGATCTACACATATATCTATTATTATTAATAAAAAGAACATATTTGTATTATTTTATCAGTTTTATATCAAGTTATTTAATTATATTATTTAATTATATTTCTGATATTCACCTCGGATTTATACATTTAATAATACAGGGTTGTCCATTAGTGTAGGAAAGTTCAATATTCGTCTATCTCCATTATTTTGAAGTTATTTAAAATACAAATTTGTCAAAAATTAAAACTCATATCCTATACAAAGTATCTCCAAAGATAATTTAACCCAACTCAAATTTTTGATCAAAGATATTTTTTCCTTTGACTAAACATTGGCTGGTCCAGGATTTTGTTTATAATTGCATATTATTACTGTAAATATTTTAAGAGGAAAAAAGTGTTATAAATTACTTAAATATTATTATATTATAACAAGATATTCCGAAAATTGATGCTAGAACAGCATTTTATTTAGTTGTTTGTAACATATTTTAGTAAGAAATTGAGAAAAAAAATCTGATGTGTCCAACACATGACTTTCCTATCTAGTTATATAAATATTTAGAGGATAAACTAAATATATACATTGTCCACATACATCTACCTCGAAACATTTTTCTATATTCATGGAAAACGAAAATACTGAAAAATTTTAATTTCCTACAATTTTTTCATTACGGTCCATTTTAGAAAAATCATGTATAAACAAAAATTATAGAGATCGATATCGCAAACAACTTTTATTTCAAAAACTTTCATAATAAAAATCAGAATTTTGCACGTTTTGTCAAATTTCTCGAATACGGACCATTTCAGGAAATTTTTACATAAAACAAAAATTACAGATAATAATATTAGAAGTAACTTTTATTTGAACAATTTTCCTCTCCAAACATAAATAACAGATATATTCCATAAAATATAAAAACGGCCTCCCATAAAGTACCCCCCAGATGTTCCGACTTTGTCCAAAATCTAATCATTTCACGTCAGGCCGAAATAAACCTTAAGTTTAAAATTTAATGTTTTTTTCTTTATCCGTTTTTGAGTTTTTTTCAAAATTCGAAATTTACACATTTTCTCAAATATCTCGAATACGGTCCATTTTAGAGAAATTATGTAGAGAATAAAAATTATAGAGAATTATATTACAAACAACTTTTATTTGAAAAATTTTTATAAAAAAATATTTTTTTTACATTTTGTCAAATTTCTCGAATACGGACCATTTTAGGAAAATTTTGTATAAAACAAAAATTATAGATAATAATATTAGAAGTAACTTTTATTTAAAGAATTTTCTTCTCCAAACGTAAATAACAGATATATTCCATAAAATATAAAAATGACCACCTATAAAGTACCCCCCCAAATGTTCCGACTCTGCCCAAAATCTAATCAGCTCATTAGACGCTGAAACAAAGCTTAAGTTTAAAATTTGGTGTTTTTCTGTGTATCGGTTCATGAGTTATGCGTTATACAGACACACACATACACACACACACACACACACACACACACACACACACACACACACACACACACACACACACACACACACACACACACACACACACACACACACACACACACACACACACACACACACACACACACACACACACACACACACACACACACACACACACACACACACACACACACACACACACACACACACACACACACACACACACACACACACACACACACACACACACACACACACACACACACACACACACACACACACACACACACACACACACACACACACACACACACACACACACACACACACACACACACACACACACACACACACACACACACACACACACACACACACACACACACACACACACACACACACACACACACACACACACACACACACACACACACACACACACACACACACACACACACACACACACACACACACACACACACACACACACACACACACACACACACACACACACACACACACACAGATACACACACACACACAGACACACACACAGACACACACACAGACATCATCGCGAAAATAGTCAAAACGGATTCAGGGGACCTCAAAACGTAAAAATCCGTCGAAAACTCGAGGTCGAAAAAAATCATGATTCCTATACTTTCCTTATATCTGTATACAGATAGGAAAGTAAAAAAATCAGAAATAACATTCTTTATATTCCATTTTTTTTATTATTTAGTTTTGAAAAATTAAGAGTACCTGAACAGTTTTTGCTTCAAAAATGATACAAAATGACGTTGAATTTTTTATCCTGTTGATCAAATATACCTGTCAAATTTGACATATTTTCCAAACATCAATAAAATTTTAAACGTAAAAGTTCTGTTTTAGTTTTCTACTCACCCAACCAAATTTGAAGGATTTTAAATCAAAAAATGTCAGTTAAGATGTAATATCACCCGAAGTTTTTTTTTTATTGTTACTAATTATTAAAAAATTATTAAAGAATGGGCGAAACTTCACATGTGGTTAGTTTGGATAAAAATAAAATCATTTAAACCAATTTACCTCAGTAGAATTTTACTTGCTTAAGAAGTTATAGGGTGGAGAAAATTTTTTTTTCAATATTTTTACGATAATTCAAATACTTTTTATTTTCCTATCTGTATACAGATATAAGGAAAGTATAGGAATCATTATTTTTTCTACCTCGAGTTTTCGACGGATTTTTACGATTTGAGGTCCCCTGAATCTGTTTTGACTATTTTCGCGATGATGTCTGTGTGTGTGTCTGTGAGTGTGTCTGTTTCCACCATAACTCATGAACAGATACACAGAAAAACACTAAACTTAAGCTTTGTTCCAGCGTCTAATGAACTGATTAGATTTTGGACAGAGTCGCAACATCTAGGGAGGTACTTTATAGGTGGTCATTTTTATATTTTATGGAATATATCTGTTATTTACGTTTGGAGAAGAACATTCTTCAATTAAAAGTTACTTCTTATATTATTATCTATAATTTTTGTTCTATACAAAATTTTCCTAAAATGGACCGTATTCGAAAAATTTATCAAAATGTAAAAAAATATTTTTTTATAAAAATTGTTCAAATAAAAGTTGTTTGTAATATAATTCTCTATAATTTTTATTCTATACAAAATTTTGAATTTTTGAAAATTGTCAAAATTGACGATCGACAATAAATTTTTTTGTATACTACCTTGTACCAATCTTAAAAGATCCTGAAATTTTTGGAACTGTGTTTTTTGTTTTTTCAAAAATATGAATTTTCGAAATTAGTTAAAAAAAATTTTTTTTCTTAATTTTTTTTTTTTTATTTTTGTCTTAATTGAGTTTTGCAAATCGCGTAATTTTGTTATTTTGAACAATTGAAATTTCTTTCAGTGGCATAATGATGAGAAATAAAACTTCAATGACAATTTTTGAGATCAATTTCAAAATCAAACTCGTAAAAATGATGACAGTGGCACCTGATGTTAAAGTAGAAACGTGGTGACATCTATGATGTGATGATTAAAAGAAATTTCAATTGTTCAAAATAACATAATTACGCGATTTGCAAAACTCAATTAAGACAAAAATTAAAAAAAAAAATTTAAGAAAAAAAATTTGAGCCAAAAATTTATTGTCGATCGTCAATTTTGACAATTTTCAAAAATTCAAAATTTCACATTTTGAAGATTTTTCAAAATTTTTTTTCGGCAATTTTTTTTTTATATCCCCAAGTATCCCCTTTAAAACTGACCCCTAACGATTTTTTCAATTGCAATAGTTTTCGAGATTTTTAAAACATAAGTTTAAAAAACATGGAAAATAGTGAAATTTTGAATTCTCCATAACCCTTGAAAAAATTTTTTTAAATTTTTTGCCTTTGGCATATAACTTCATAATAGGATAAAAGAAAACTTCTGACCAAAATTCGTCCAAATCGAAAGGGGTCGATTCCAACTATTGGTCGATTTGACGTGGAATGACCCCCCTGTAACTTCTTAAGCAAGCAAAATTCTACTAAAGTAACTTGGCTTGAATAAACTTATTTTTGTCCAAACTAACCACATCTGTTTGGACCATTTTTAATTTTTGATATAGTTTATTTCTGAAAAAAAAGGCATTTTTGGTTTTCATTGTACATCTTGAGAATGTAAAAAACATGTAGATTTTTATTGCTCACTTTAATCAAATTTTTTCAATCATGTGACTGCTAGAATCTTCAATATGATGTGTCATTTCAATATTACAGTTTAGAATAAAGCAATTTTGGCACATGATAATTAAAACAAAATATACTTAACAAGTTTTTTATTTGATTTACACGATCACTGATATAGTATATTACATTACGAGTGTGGAAAATCACTTTTCACACAAGTGATGTACAATATTTTTCCTACGACCACAAAATAATGTCATCAAAAAAATGTAAAACCAAGGTTATTATTACTATAATAATTAAAATGTATTTAAAAAAATAATCAACAATAATCGTATTTATTCAATTTTCATATTTTCTAAACAAAAAAAAACTAAAAAAAAAAATAAAAAAAAACAAAAAAATTCTGCCCCGCCAGGATTCGAACGCGGTTGAAAAATGGCAAAGTTGATAAGTTCGACGTCCTAACCACCTGATCTAATCGGTTATGTATTTAACCAGAATAAAAAGCAAACATTATTTTAAAATTATTTTAATAATAATTGTTAAAGATAAATATCTAGGATCTAATTTACAACAATTTCAATAATTTAACAATCATATCGATTTTAGTATTAATATGGACATTACATAGATCAAAATAGAAAT